TTGTGTGTGCACAGTAAAAAATGCTGGGTTATTTTCATAACCCAATTTCTGGGTTGAAGCTGTTGGGTCATAGGTTGGGTTAGTTTGACCAAATATTGGGTCAAAATACATAACTCATGAGTTGGGTCAGAAATTTATCGGAAGTCTACATCTTGCACACTTCTGTTGGGCCAGGAGTTGGGTGGGTAGATTTACCCAAACGGTTGGGTTAAAGATGAAACTTGGAAGAAGCCACGCCCCTCTTCACAAGCCTCCATTTTCAACATGACTGTGAACGTTGCATATCGGACTTCTCCTCTACTTTGAAATAAGACATGGTAAGTAAAAAGAAGATAAAGTTTCAACGTTTATAGAATTTTATACATAAATTGAATTTATTTCAAACATGTTTGATATTTATTTTTATGGTTTTTAAAAATGTTTATTACGGTAGGTTGCTCTGACAAAGAGCTTCGGGGTTGCTACAACACGGCTGTTGGAAAAAAAAAGATGAAGGGGAAGGGCACAATTTGTCAAGTAAATTAAATTCAGTTGTTTAATATAACCTCAATCATATTTGTTCGTAACTTAACATGTTCAAATGTTTAAAAATCAATTTAGTTTTAAAAGAAAAGATAGTTGACGGTTTCTCCCCTGATTTTCGCAGGGTGCGCGCGCATCCTCAGCGGGCTGAGGCTACGTGTTTGAACACAAGCAGTAATGGCGGAGGAGAGCGGAGGAGAGCGAGGTCATGTGCTGACCCAATGTGCTGGGTCAAATCCTCAAACCAACCCAGTTGAGTTAAAACAACTCAGAGTTGGGTCGGTCCATATTTGACCCAGCGCTGGGATACGAATTGGGTTATTTTTAACCCAGCAGTTTCCAAGAGCCATTTATCTTTTCTGGTGTTTATCGCCACCAGGGGGCGTATTTATTTTGAGTTCTGAGTGTCTGATGGGGGATGGGTTATTTAAGGTCAATCATGATTCTGTTCAGGTGTTGTTAATAGGTAGAGGCAAACAGTTTTCTACTGTGCTTGGTTTTTGGATGTATGTCGAATTTATGTGGATCTTAAGGAAAACAGTAAGACAATGGACATTGTACTGGAAATAAATGACTTAACTTTATATCAAACGGAAGATCGGCATGCTGAATCTTAATTGAGCGCACGTAAAACCAACGCCTTTCAACAACAACCACCAGTAGCCTAAAATATAGGATTTTAGCCGCTACATTCATCATCCTTTTGAATTACATCGTGTGTGAAGCAGTCCAGGTAGAGTGTTTTACATGATCTGGGTATTCCATATCCCAATATGTTTTTCAAAATAAGACAAACATTATGCCAGTGTGTGGTTGGCTTTCACAGGACCAGAATATGTGTGTGACCTACATCAGTCTGACCACAAAGTCTCCAGCATGTCTGTGAACTGGAGACCATCCTGGTCCTGATCTTTGGTGTTATAAAAAATCTAATCATGTTTTTCCAATTAAATTCCCTCCACACACGGGAGCAGGTGGCTGTGCACTGCATTTTACAAATTTTAAACCATTCCTCCTCGCTTATGTGTTCCTTCAATTTGTCCTCTTAATTTTCTTTCATGTACATAGTAGATGTCTTCCTGCCTGCCATCCCTGGTACAGTGCTGAAATAACTCGTAATTTATTCCCCTCATACGCCTTATGAAATATCTCTATTATTTTACTTACGTTGGTTTTTATCTCTTTCTCATAATAATCTTTTATTTGCAGGTATCTATACTGGTCTTGATCCTCCAGTTCATATTTTTCCTTTAAACTATTAAAGCTCAGCAGTTTGCCCTTTTCAGTCAATTTACAACTTTATTTGCCCATTGTTTGAAACCTGTATCATAAATACCTGGTTTAAACCTCAGATCCCAAGCAAACCAGCTCAAACTCCTTGTTTCCTTCTCTAACTTGTAATTATCAATTACTGTGTTCCATATTTCAATCATAGTTTTAGTTATTGAATCTAGCTTGTTGCTTAGTTTGCCTAAGAGTATTTTATGTGCTATTACATTTCTAGCCTCTATGTCTTTTCTACCTATTTCCAGATTTTTCCATTTTGAAACATAGTCATCATTGCACCAACACACCAGAGGTCTAATTTGTGCGGCCCACAAATATTCTTTTAGGGCTGGTAAACCCAGACCTCCTTTATCTTTTGGGAGCTGAAGTGTTTTATATCTGACCCTAGGTTTCTTCCCGTTCCATATAAACCTTGAAATCCATCTGTCCCATTCTACAAATTGTTTTTGCGGAATAGTCAGTGGCAGGGACTGAAACAGGTATAAC